GTATGCACCCATTAGGGAAATTTAACGGGATGTTCCACCAAACATGTGTGTTATTAAATGTGATGTCTCTTGGTTTCAACCAATCAATATCTAATTTAGTATTTTTAAGGAAACAAAAAAAAAAACCAAAAAAACTTAAAGACGTTTGAAGTAAGTATGTGTAGTTGTTATTCTTTCCTAAGTTTACCATTCGAATATTAATAAACATAGTTAACTTACATACGTCACACCAGCCAATTTCCCAACGTACATCAGAAATATTTCCAACAGAGTTCCACATTACAAGTATAATTTTGTATTTCTTCCAACAAGATAAATCTGACAGTGTGGCGTAATTTTTAGAAGCGTTAACGGTCACTACTCCGGAATCAGTTGCGTTGTGGTCGTAACTTGCATATTGCACATCATACTGTGTGATTTTCCCGTGCAGATATTGTTTGTCTGGTTCCTATAACAATACATTATTTAGAATATGTCCTATAAATTATAGAGTTATACAAAAAAAGATCTACTGACAAATTAAATATATTTAAAGGTACTTGTATTACATACTGTTTAGTGACAGACATTTTATTATGTATTTTAATGTTAAACTTCAATTTGTATTTTACTTCAAATTTGAATAAAGTATTATTCGCATTATATTACAGTATTACCTTCCAATAAACTTTGACATCATGTGACAGGCATGCCTTATTTGTATTAGATGTAATATCAATAATTCTTGCTGGTTTTTCTGGAGCTGAAGAAAATTAATAAAATTCATCATCAAATTCACTATCATCATCATAATACCAAATTCATTATCATCATCATCATCATCTTTGTCATCATCATCATTTTCATTAATATTACAATATATTATTATTAGTATTGATAGCAGTATTTGATCATGTACCTTCTGCCAACGTTTGAACCTGAAATATGCATGTGTTGTCGTCGTCAGTAGCGTAGGATGATCCTGAGCCATACTTTGAATTGATACTAATATTGTATAAGCTGTTCGGGACAAGGCCGGTGAATTCTGTTCTTGTCTCTTATACACATCT